TGGGCTCTGGGGATACAAGAGTGAACAGGCCATGATCTGGGCTGTGGTGGGGTTAGTATTTTAGTGAGGCAAACGGCAAGTAAATCCAGTATCTGAGGGGTTCTTTGTGTGGCCGGGTGTGAATCTGTGCGTATCGTCAGCACCTCTGGGAACAGCGGGGTCAGGCATTCACATGACCCCCTCCCTCTCTGTCGCCTCATGGCCAGAGTACCCAGATATCAGGGACTTCCCTTGGAGTCGCCCCAAGGACAACAGCAGTGAAATCAGGCAGGACCTGTCCTTTAGGAACAGGTTGAAGTTGAGCATAAGTCCTCCAGGCTCGCCCACGTGTGCTGGGCCAGAGTCTCCTGCCTCCCTCCGCTGAGCAATGCTCATGGCACGATGGGCCCCTGCCGCTCATCATTCATCCACGAGGACATTTTGGGGGCCTCCACCTCATGGCTGCTGTGCATGGGTGGTACGAATGTCTCCTCCTGGCTCAGAAATCTCAAATTTTTCTTTTTTGAGATACGTATTATATACAATGAAATTCACCAAGCCTCAGCATTCTGTTTCATGGTTTTACACAACTGTCTACACCCACAATTCTACCACTCAAACAAGCTGGAGGTGTTTTCTAGAAAGTTTCTCATGCCGACCCCCCTCCTGTCTCTTTGGGACCCCCCCTTTCTTTCTTCCTTTTTCTGTGGTGCAGAGATGGAACCCAGGGCCTCACACCTGCTGGGCAGCCGTCCTACCACCGAGCTCCCTCCCACACACACACCAAGTGTGGAAGGGGGTGGGGAGAGGGTGTGTAACAGTTAGAGCCAAAACACCTGGGCTCCCAGGAGGGCTTGACCCCCCGGCCCGGAGCCTGGGTCTCTGCGGTTGAGAACAGTACAGGGTATCCCGGCGTGTGAGGACTGAATTAGTTAAAATAGGCCAAACATTTAGAATCATGACTGCTATGTGGCCACAGCTATAAAGGTGTCGCCATCATTAAAAATGATGATATCCAGAGAACTTTGTAAGGAATGTCCACCACCCTGCCTTAGAAGTCCAGCCCTGCACACACAAGTGCTGTCTCTCTGCCTCTCACCCCCTCATTTTCCACATCAAAGGCAGATGAGTGGGGGATTTATTAAAAAAAAACAACAAAAAAAAAACCTCTTTTAAGACAAAAATGGGCAGGGGCTATAGCTCCGCACTGGTAGAGTGCCTGCCTCGCTTGCACCAGGCCCTGGGTTTGGGTTCCATCCCCAGCACCAAAAAAAAAAAAAAAAATCACTTTGCTGGGGATGGAACCCAGGGCCTGGCACATGTGCTGTACCCCTGAGCTACATTCCAGCCCCCCCAAAACACTTAAAATTGTGGTGAGCTGGGTGCGATTGCGTGACCTGTCACTGCAGCTACTAAACAGGCTGAGGCAATCGCTTTAAGCCCAGGGGTTCAGAGCCAGCCTGGGCGACACAGCAAGATCCTGTCCCAATGAATGAAGCACACAGTTGGTGGCACGAACAGGCTTTCACGTGACTGTGTGGCAGTTCCCACATCCATCTCCAAAACTTCCCCATCTGTCCCAGAGGAAATTCTGTCCCCAGCAAACACTGGCTGCCCTGGCCCCCTCCCCGGAGTGTGGAAACCCTTGTCCTCCCAGTGTTTCTCCGTGTTGACGGAGCCTGTGGGCTGTATCCATGGGCGACGTGCATGGCCAGGCCGGTTGGAGCCAGGGCTCACAGCACAGAACACAGCACAGCACGTTCTTTTGCAACTTGCTTTGTAGCTTAACTGGGGGGCCTCTCCTCTTCTCCCAGGAGCTCTGAGGCTGTCCTTGTGCTGTACTGGATTGAGTGTCACGCTAGGGACAGGACCTGGGGTGCTCTGCCACTGAACTGCACCCCAGCCCTTCTCATTTGTTATCCTGGGACAGGGTCTCCCTAAATCACCTGGTACGGCCTGGAGCTTGTGCCCCTTCTGCTCCAGGCTCCCGAGTCGCTGGGTGATGGGCGTGGCCGCAGCACCCAGCTTGGCCCTGTCTTCTGGCTGCAGCGTGTGACTTTCTCTTCATCTTGTTCTCGCGTGAACTTGTAGGTATTTCTCGTTTTGTCAAGTTTTCAACATTTAGGGATTGAACTCAGGGGCCCTTGACCACTGAGCCCCATCCTCAGCCCTATTTTGTATTTTTATTATTTATTTATTTATTTATTTATTTATTTAAAGAGAGAGGTGTGTGTGAGAGAGAGAGAATTTTTATTATTTTTTTTTAGTTTTTGGCGGACACAACATCTTTGTTTGTATGTGGTGCTGAGGATCGAACCCTGGCCGCACGCATGCCAGGTGAGCGCGCTACCGCTTGAGCCACATCCCCAGCCCCTGGTATTTTATTTGGAGATGGGGTCTCACTGAGTTGCTTAGCACCTCACTTTTTCTGAGGCTGTTTTGAGTTTGCGATCCTCCTGCCTCAGCCTCCCGAGCCTCTGGGATGACAGGCGTGTTCCACGGAGCCTGGCTAACATCCTCTGTCTTTTGGGCACACACTTAAGTGCCTGGAGATTCCTGAGAAGGGAAGTGTGGGGTGCTGTAAGACGCACGCACATCTTCAGCTGTCACTTCAGGTGTGCACTTCATGCTGGTCACTAGACCCACTGTCTCTTTCCTCTCACCACTTCAAAGGCTCCCTGGTGGCCCCAAAGTACAGTGCAACTCTTTCTAACGGGCAGCTGTGGCATGGCCTGTCACCATCCCTCACCAGATGACCGTCCCACCTGCTCCACGAACCTTGCCAGCTCCTCCTCATCCTCTGGGTTTGGGTAAGAGTGTCACTCCTGACACCAACCACCCCAGGGTGGATCAGAGCTCTCCAAACACAGCCAGAGACTCCGGCATCCCATAATCTGAGGGTGGGGGCTGCCTTGTTCATAAGCAGCACTCAGTCTTTACTTGTGGATCAAACAGAGGAGCATCTACCTCGGGGCAGGGGCCAGGGCTACACAGAGTCCTTGACCAGAATCCCAACTCCACTTCCTGGGTGACTGTAGGCAAGTAGCATAACCTCTCTGATCCTCACTCTCTTGTCCTGTGAAACCCTTCCCAGGGTAACTGTAGGGGCTGAAATGAGCACCAGGCTGGCCGGGCCCAGGGCAGACGGCTCGGCAGCTGTGGGAGCTGCAGTGGTTCCCAGCCAAGTTCCGGCCCTGTAACCTCAGGCAGGGCCTCCCTTCTTCCTGCCTTGGCAGAGCTGGGAAGTGATGCTGGGTCTCCTTGTCCCGCCAGCTCATGCCTCAATTCCCAGGCCTGTAATGGGAACCACATGCGCTGAACACTCCCCGCCCACCCCTCCCCCAGGAGGCCTCCTGAGTCATCTGGGCCTCCTCGCCCCTACTCACGGCCTCATTCCCACGCTGCCCGGCCCGGAGCTTGCGTGTCACAGGAAGTCAGCGTGGCGAATCCCTGTGGGTCTGTGTGTGTGTGAACGCTCTGCCCGGCTGCTTGTGAGTGCAACTGTGTGTGTGTGTGCGCTGTGCTTGTGCAGGTGTGTTTTATACCCTTGTGTGCCCCCGTGGTGGGCGTGCAAGAGCCCGTTTGTGTGTAAACCGTCTGCCCTTCTCGTGGCTCAGTGGGGTGTGGGGCCTGACCACGTGTCCTGTGTATGAATCTGTGTGTGTGTGTGAGCTTGTGCTGGCACTGCGTGTTTTTGTGCTCGTGTTGTAGATGTATTGCATGTGGATGTGTGTATGACATGTCTACTCCAGGATCTGAGCGTGCTGTGTCTGCACTGTGGGTTTGGGGGTCCGTTGGGGTGCCCCGTGTGGTGGGGCTGCGCGTGCTGGACTCTTCGAGCTCCCGTGGCTGATTTGCCTCTGGCTGGTTTTCCACCCCTGACGGTCGGCTGTGTCTCCGTGGGCTGCTGTGCCCGGGGCCACGTGCCCGGCCATGCTGCCTTGGCTCACCGTGTGCCCAAGTCCTGCATGTGTGCATTTGTTTGCTGGAGGCTCCGTCTGGGTAACCGAGGACCAAGTTCCGGTCCCACAACTGGGTCATTCGGCAGGTGCGCGTGTGTGTGATGCCCGAGGGGCAAGGAGTCCCAGCAGCGGCAGCAGTTGGACATGACAAACGTCCAAGAAGAGAAAAGGCTGAGCAGCGGATTGGACAGGACAGCTGGAGAAGCCCTGCGGGTCCAGGCTGAACCCAGGCCTCCCTCCACCCCTCTTCTGGGACTGGGAAGGGGACTGAGGTCCTGTCTGTGGGAACATCTGGAGGGGCGGGAGCGGGAGGCCTGGAGCCGGAGGGCACCTGCTCCCATCCCTGTGGAGGTGCAGGGCGGGGAGGGGCGGCAGAGCACTCAGCCCACCGGGCACAGCCAGGCCGTGGGAGGCCCAGGTGCGCAGAGAGCTCCGCGTCTGGGTTGGAGGACACCGAGTCAGCATCCCGCTCCGTTCTGCATCCTCTATGGGCCGTGATGGTCTCTCCCTCGCTGAGCCTGCTGAGCCCATGGTCCAGGAAAGCCGCTCTCCCCGACGGGTGGGACCCAGAGATTAAACCCCTGCACCCTCGCGCTCAGGTGAGCTCTGAGTCTGGACTCGACGCATTTCCCCGGGGGTCCCCAGCAGGATCGAGTCTCAGTTGCCTAATGTGGGTTTGCTGGAGACGGACAGACGTGGGACAAATGGCCTCGCTGTCGTGCCGCAGAGGTCTAGAGCTGGGCTTTGAGTTGGATGGCGCGGGGTGGGAATCCCACGTCTGCTCCTGAGATAGTTACTTAACCTCTGAGCCTCAACCTTCTCACTCTTAAATCGGGGATAAGCACCTCTACCTCCCAGGGTTGCGAGGGTCTAGCCCAGTGCTCTGGGCTGAGTTGGAGCTCAAGGAGTGGGGACTGGTGAACAAAGGGAGGTGTCCAGCGCGGCCTGGGGCACCAGGGCTGTATGAATGCTGAAGTTTTCCCTGACAGGTAAAGGGAACGGACGTTCCAAGCACAGGCCAATCGGGGCTTAGTTTGGAAGAGAAGAACCGATACCAGGTGCTGTGGTTTCCATGTGATTTCAGTGTGTCCCTAAAGGTTCGTAGATCGGAAGCGGGGTCCTCAGTGTGGTGAGTGGTGCTCAGTGCAAGGTGATCAGGTCTTTGGGGTGTTGCCTTTAGAAGGGATCCGTGGAGTCCTCCCAGGACCCTGGCTGGTTCCTAGGAGAGTATGTTGTTATAAAAATAGAAAGGGTGACTCTGAACTCCCCCTGGCTTCTAAACAGGCTCCCACCATTTCGATGCCCTCTGCCTCAGGTCCCCACCAGTTGAGCAGATGCAGACATCTTGCTCTTGAACCTCCAGAACTGTGATCCTAACAAACTATTTTCTTTATAAAGTTTCCAGCCTCAAGTAGTTTGCTTTGGCAACAGAGAATGGATTAAGATAGCAGGAAGCTTGGTACTTACAAAGTGGTGGAAGGTGCCAGGTCTGGTGGTGCACACCTGTAATCCCAGTGACCTGGGAGGCTGAGGCAGGAGGATTGCAAGTTTGAGTGCAGCCCTGGCAACTTAGTAAGACCCCGCCTCAAAATAAAAAATAAAAAGGGCTGTGGATATAATCCAGTGGTCGATTGCTTGCTTAACAGCATGTTCTCAGATCCTTGGTTCAATCTCTAGTACTGCCGAGGGATGGGGGGAAGAAAAAAGAAAAGGAGGAGGAGGAAGAGGAGGAGGAGAAGGAAGAGGAGGAGGAAGAGATAGATGGAGGAGGAAAGGGAAGGAAGGAAGAAAGAAAGAGCCATGAAAATATAGCTCATAGCTAGAGGTAGAGCTTTTGCCTCTCGTGCGTAAGGTCCTGGATTTAATATCCAGCACTACAAAAACAAAACAAAACCAAAAAAAAGCAAAGAGAAAAACATGGGTGAAGGGGCTCTAAGGTGAGCCCATAGTTTGAGTCAGCATAGGACATCTCCTGTCCATGGCCCACCCACAAGCCTTGGGGATCAGCAGGAAGGTGGGGAATCACCCCGTGGTAACTGTTGGTTTCAAGAATACATCACCAGGGGACTGGGGCTGTAGCTCATGGCAGAGCGCTTGCCTAGCATGTGTGAAGCACTGGGTTCGATCCTCAGCACCACATAAATAAATAAATAAATAAATAATCAAATAAATAAATATTGTGTTCATCTGCAACTAAAAAATTTAAAAAAATAAATAAATACATCACTAGGGGTTGGGGGTGCAACTCAGAGCTAGAGCTAGCAAATGCAAGGCTTGGGTTCAATCCCAAGTACTGCAAAAAAATAAAATAAAAAAGAGTACATCACTGGGATGGACAAAGTGTGGTATATCCATACAACAGAATGCTATTTAGCCGTAAGAAGAAAGAAAGTTCCGGTGCACACTACAACGCAGGTGGGCCTTTAAAGTGCTGCTCTAAGTGGAAGGAGCCAGGCACAACAGGACAAATATCATGTGATTCACTTACATGGAACATGTGGACTAAGCAAAGACAGAGAGAAGATGAGAGATTGCCAGAGGCTGGGATGGGGAGAAGAGGGAGGCATTGCATAATGGTTGCAGAATTTCTGTTTGGGGTGATGAAAAATTTTGAAATACGTAGTGGCGCTGATTTGAACACTATGGTACAATTAATGAATGCAGCGAACTGCACACTTAAAATGGTTAAAGTGGCAAATTTTATGTTATATATATTTTTTATTACCACTTAAAGCTAATGATGGAATATACCAAAAGCCATTGGCTTGTACTCGTCAAGGCGTGAATTGTATGGTATGTGAATTATATCTCAATAAAGCTGTTAATAAAGAGAATACACTGCTATAGTGGCAATGTAGCGGTTTGGGGGCCACCCTCATTTTTACTGCAACTGTTTCTCAATAAAAGCCGGTGATAACGTTCGTGGTAGGAAATGGGAACATACCTGGGGGAAAACCCAAAGTCTGCACAACTGTGGTGGCAGCTGCCTCTACCAAGACAGCAGGAAGATGACTTTCCCACCTCCACCTCTCACTTCTCAGGCTTCGGATTGGCAGAAACTAACTGGTACATGGAGTGTAGCTGCAAGGGAGTCCAGAAACGCAGTGTTAGCCTGCCCGACTGCGATACAGGAAGCACACTATTAGGCTGCATGCGGGGGAATCAACCCCCTATCCTTTGTTTCACCTCCACAGCATCTTCTCCCTCTTAATCTTCTCCCTTTTAAAGTTCTGCATCCCCCACTTCCCATCTCCCACCCAGTGCAGTTGAGGGAGACTGACTGTACTCTCCGGTTCCAGGGAGATGATCTGTGAGCTCGTCTGGCTGAGCAATATCCCTCAGATTGGTTCAGGATGGGCACATGACTGGTGATGGACCACAGTCACTATTTTGCAAGCTCTCTTTTTGCTGATGTTGCTGATCTTGGAAGATAGAAGCCTCTGGGAACTGATGTTGTCACCTCTTGTCTAAAAGAGAATTCCTCACAGAGACAAGAAATGGAGAGAGACAGAATCCTGAAGATGTAACAGAACCCCATGAATACAGCCATGCCTAAATTCTGTTACCCCTGGATTATTGTTTTCAGCATTTGCAATGCTGGGGGTTGAACCCAGGGCCTCATGTATGCTACATATCCCTAGCCTTGCCCTTCTTCTTCTTTTTTTTTTTTGCTAAGTTCAATTCAAGCTGGGTTTCTGCAATTACTACCAAAGGACCTGGAATCATAAAGACAGGGATTAGCAAGAACAAAGGCGTAAGTAGACATGCAATGGATTCATTCATTCATGAACTTCTTGATCATTTTCCCTACGACAGGCCCTGGGCAGGGTGTGAGAATACAGAGATCTGGGCTGTGTCCTTCAGTTGGACACATGAAGGGTCCTAGGACAGCAGAGCCAATGGCTTCCTAAGCACCAATTAGGGACACTCAAGTGACGAGATGACAAAATCCAATGCCCTTTCTGCTTCTCACACATGTCACAGTGTCCTCTGCCTGACTCCAGACACTGACCCACCCAGTTCATCAGTTCTGCCACATGAGATCCTTGGGAATCTGACCCTGATGTGTCTTCAGGGATGGGTCACAGTCCCGACCACTCCACTGTAGATACCATGCTCATCATGACACCAGCCCCAGTGCTGACTCTGAAGCTGTCACAGTACAACCAGGAAACCGAGTAGGACTCTGACCACAGTATGACCTGATCATAATTTTGACCACAGCACAGCCAGGCCTCTGTTGAAAGCAAGTTCAGGGGCTGGGGATGTGGCTCAAGCGGTAGCGCGCTCGCCTGGCATGCGTGCAGCCCGGGTTCCATCCTCAGCACCACATACCAACAAAGATGTTGTGTCCGCCGAGAACTAAAAAATAAATATTAAAAATTCTTCTCTCTCTCTCTCTCTCTCTCTCTCTCTCTCTCTCTCTCTCTCCTCTCTCTCTCTCTCTTTTAAAAAAAAAAAAGAAAGAAAGCAAGTTCAGGACAATGACACACCACCAGGACAGTGATGGGGATGCTGAGTCCATGGCAACCAGGACACTGACAATACTGATCGCCACACTGACCATAGCATGACCAGGAATGATCAGCAATGACCACAAAACTGACCACATTGCTGACCCCAGCAGAACCAGGATGCTGATGACAGCATAGATCACCATTCAGTAGGACACTGACCACAGCATGATGAGGATACTGAGATTGCCACTGACCATAGCAGTGGTTAGGAAAACAACATTTAATGTATTGGCTCCAGTCCAGTTTGAAAACACCAGAGCCCAAGCCAGTTAATTCAATAGAGGGGATTTCACAGGGGGAATGAGTCACAGAGGTGCTGGGTAAGTTTGAAGAGCATGGGGGAGAAAGTGACTGAGCCCCAGAGAAGCAAATTACCATCTTTCCAAGAGGATAAAACAACAGAGAAGTTAGTTAGTTGCTGGAGACCCAGAGTTACAGCCACCTGGACAGAGTTGAACCATGATGGGGGACACCTGATGGGGCTGAGACAACCGGGAATACCCAATAGCCACTCCTAGAGACACCCAAAGTGGAGAGAGGGGGAGAAATATTCTGGTTTAGACTTTCTTTTCACCCTCCAATCTCTTCCTAGACCTCCCATTTTGCTGAGCCTAACCAGAAGCAAGGGAGCCTGGGAAATGTAGTTTGTAAGAGGCAAGGGAGCCTGGGAAATGTAGTTTACAAATGCTGTCTCCCCTACTACAAAAGAGAGCAGAGAACAGATGAGAGATGGACCTGAAGTCATACTGGCCAAAGCTCAGCATTATAACACAGGTCATACCGTGGCTAGAACAGTGACCATCTCCCTGATCAGAACCCAAGGAGGACACTGTTCATGGTACTGAAACAAAGCCCTGTACAAGGGCGCCCACTCTTGGTCAAGAGTTTTCAGAATGTACCAAACTACATGCTCTTTCTTCAGGTTTGGCTTGAGGATCCAGCAAAGGACAGTCTCCTGTTTCAAAAAAAGAAGTGGAGGAATAGCTGAGATGTTTTCTAAGGCTCAGATTCTGACTTGTGACCCAATCCTACGGCCAGTGTCCTCAACTGCTCTGTGGCAATGTGCTGTGGGGACTGAGTGCGCTATTTGCTCCTGGGTCAGCAGGAGGAGATGCTGTAAGGAGATGCTCCCCAACAGTGGGAGATGCTGGGAGGAAACAGGTCTTTTTTCTTAAATGAAATTTATTTATTTATTCTAATTAGGTAAATATGACATCAGAATGCATTTTGATTCATTGTACACTAAATAACATTTTTTCTTTCTTTCTTTCTTTCTTTTTTTTCTTTTTTGGAACCGGGGAATGAATTCAAGAACCCTTAACCCTTGAGCCACATTCTCTGCCCTCAGGTCTTTTAAAAAGAGGGAAAACTCCTTGCCTGGGGTTACATGGCAAAATAGTGACAGCCAGGGCTGTTAGACACCAAGCTCTTCCTCTTTGTCTCAACCAAACCATCAATAATGTGCTATCTTCCTGGCACATAGTAGGGTCAGAAAAATGCTAGTTTTTCTCACCCCTCCCCTATATTTTACAGCAGATTCCTTCATAATTTGATTTACTTGCCTTCCAGCAAAGAGCCATTGAAGGGCTGCGGGAGACCAGGTGAGGGCCCAGAGCCTCCCCAGAGAAGGCAGACCGGACAAGGACGCCCTTCATATGCAAATGCCTCGTGTGGAGGCGGCCTTCACATTTTGGTTCTCTTGGGAATCCAGTCTGTCATTTTGGGCCATTGAAACAGGAACGAGAAGAGGCTGTCCAGGTGTGGCTGGGGGTTGGGGGGAGGATAAGTTCTCCATCAGGAGAGCCCTAGGGAACGGGCGCCCAGGAAGAGTGGAAACGAGATGCCCCCGCAGGCGTTCAGGTCCGCCCACCTGGTCATGCCCCTGGCCTCCTCTCAATGTCACGCTCCTGCTCCCCGCTTTTGCCTCTCACTCCCAGTGTCCATCTCTGCTCTATCTGCCCCTGTCCTGGCGTTGGCCCCTTCCCCAACTTCCAGCTTCACAGGCCCGGTGCCTCAGTTTCTCTGCAGATTGCTGGGTTCTTGGATGATTCTCCTCTCGCTCCAGGCCTTCCTCCTAACTCCCTCTCCCCGCACCCCTCTCCCACCTCCTTCCTCTACGTGGGAAACCTCCTGGGAGGGTGAAACTGACAAGCACGTGACGGACGCCCTCACCCCATCTCCGTGACCCACTCCCTGGATGGCCTGGGGTGGGGCGCCGGCTCCGGCCCGCGG